CTGGGTACCGTCCGTGCACTTGGCAAACGTCTCGGCGACGAGAAGCGCGACCGAGTACTTTGCTGGTATGACGTGGTGAAGCCACTTGTAGCCGGTCGGGATCTGCGATGACGGCGGGTTGTAGCCCATGAAGAGGAAGAAGAACGAGTTGAAGAGAGTGCCAATGATAGCGGCAACCTCGACACGGGGCATCGCGTATGCCATCAACTGGCCAAAGTAGACGTTCATGAGCACCAAGAACGAGACATTGAGGCCGTAAAAGAGGCATGCGCCGATCGACTCGTTGAAGCCGACAAACGGGTAAAAGATGACGCAAAAGACAAATGTCGTCACAAACACGTACGGGATCTCGACGACCGTGCCGCCGACAAGGTACCAAAACGCGCTGTACGTCTGCGAGGCGCGTTCGCGATAGAACGACGCGCGCTCTTCTGTAGCGAGCGGAAGGACACTGTTGAACGAAATGATACCCATAAAGAGCGACGTGAGAAAGATCATGCCGACGCCGCCGGTCGCCCCAACGTACGTTGTGTAGTCGACACCGCGGTAGACCAAGCCAAAGAGAAGAGCCAAAATGATCGAGAGCATCGCGCGCGTGTAGTTGTACGACGGCGTGCGCCAGTACATGCGGAAGAAGCGCTGCGTCACCATCTTGAACTGCGTCAAAGACGACGCCGCGCGCTTCTTGGCAAACGTGAGCTCGGGCAGCGACGAATGCGGCACAGCGTGGCGCTCGAGCGCTGCCACGAGAAGACCACGCTCATGCGAGCCGTTGAAAATCTGGACATAGTCGTTGGGCGGCAAGTTGGTGCTCTTGGCTTCGACACCGGCACCGATGACCTCGAGCATCCACGTCGCCGGGTTGGCACCCTCGATGAGTGGCGGCGTGTTGGGAATCGACTTGAAGTACTGAATCAGCTGGATGGCGTGCGTACCGAGGTCACCAAAGAAGACGGTCTCGCCACCGCGCTTGAGAAGGAGAAGCGAGTCAAACATCTCAAACACCTCGGTCGACGGCTGGTGGATCGTGCAGACGACCGTGCGACCCGTCGACGCGATCTTGCGAATACCCGTCATGATGATCTTGGCCGAGCGGGCGTCAAGGCCGGACGTCGGCTCGTCCAAAAAGAGAATACTCGGGGCGGCCGCGAGCTCGACACCGATCGTCAGACGCTTCATCTGCTCGACCGACGCGCC